TCCGACATTCACGAATTTATAGACGTTAGACTTGTAATTCCAATGGAAATTGTGAGTCGAAGTCAAAAAACATTTTCACGTCGGAATCTCCAAAAAAACGTCAAGTCTCCCTTTCAAGATGCAGACAGTTGCATGTCAATCAAAAAGTATTATTAATAACAGGTATTAGTAAGGACTGAATAACTAGATGTCTCTCTAGGTGGGTTGAACTATAATGGTTTTGCGTCAAAACGAACGAAAACTAATAAACATTGAGGGTAATAAGTGCAGATGTCCTAAATTATATAAAACTTATTTTTCCCAGCGGTGAAATAACAATTCCTTCCCAGATTCCCGCACTTTTCTGGTACAAAGTCCTTTTTTTTTTTATTTCAGAATGAAACTTCAGTATACTTCGAACGCGTTGTTGCAAATGTCTTACCTCTGTCAAAGGCCCCAAGTCTGTTCTGTAAGGACTCCAATCTATGGATGTACAAATTCAGCGAGTGATCACCACTATCACTGTCGTTATGAGCCGATCCCAACGAAGATGCTCTAGACGGTGAAAGTGGACGATCGTGGTGATTGTGGAAGTCCAGTAAACCCGATCTTTCTCCGCGACGAGGCGAAGAATGCCGAGGTGAAGACTCTAAACGATCTCGATGACTGTAATCTCTCTGTGTAGTTACAGAGTCCCTAACCGGTGGCGATTTTAAAGTTCGGGTGTAATCGGTCGTGGTCGGTTCTCGAGCGAGAGGCGCCGACGTCGGGCGGGTATCCGACCAGGATGTTGGGGAGAAAGTTCTAGATGATCTGCTTGGTGACGTGACATGACTTCTGTGCGACAAAGGCCCGTCTTTACCAAACATAACTCCTCCACTGAGTCTCTCACTCGATGACGCACTCGTGGGTGGCATGGTATGACTTCTGAAGTCTACATGCCCATTTATTCCTGTTTGATGTTTGTCGCGAGTTCTCCGGTCACTTCGCGGCGAATATCTGTTAGCATACGAAGGAACACCATTGGGCTGATACGAATGCAATGTTGGCGCAACATGGACGCCATTAACACTACCGGGCCTTTCCTCAGTCGACCGAGGTGCGTAGGTTTGACTAGGGGCCTGATAAACAGAGTGATCGTGACTGTTTAAGTCTCCGTTGACCATACGTGATCTACTCGTGTTCTCACGCGTATCGCGTGATCCCGTGATGGTAACACGTTTCGATTTGTTCACCAAAAAGTTCATGCGTTGGATTGCGAGGACAGCGCGCCCGGCAGTGCGGAATCTGCTGATTGCTGTCCGTCTGAAGGAGCGGTCACGATCCTTGGGGTAAGCTCCCATCTGAGCGATCATGGCCAGCGTAGTAGACTCGCACTCTTCAAAGCCTCCCAGAAGCAACAGAAGATATTTCTTTTGATACACAAGAGCTTTCCGAAAGCTCTCAGCCTTGATAAATCGTTTATAAAGCTTTAGGAGCTGCAAAACAAGAAGGACAACGTTAAGGTCGATAGCGGCCCAACGAGTACAACAGGCTTTGACGTAAGACCACAAGCGTTTAATGACACGATACCAAAAATAAAAGTCCCACACACAGAAAAGCAAAACTAACAAAGCAGACAAAAATTCACAAATCAAAACTTAAGAAGGTGACTTTTTAAGCCATCCAGATCCAACAATTTTTTTCCGAGAGTTCAACATTAGGATTAACAGCAGCTCGACGCGTTATTGACACAGTCGCACGTCACCGACAGGAACAAAGTAAAGAAAATGTTGGAAGTTTTCAACGATTCATTAATGCAACACGCCCTTATTAAAGTTTTTTTTTCCAAATAATTGCTCTATACTGTGCTTGAACAATTCGAGAATCGACTTTCGCAATTGCTTTTTCATTTAAAAGCTCTAAAAATATCTTATGTATTAAGGAGCATTACGCTCCCATCTCCCATCACTTCACTATCACAGACCGAAACCACAGGACTACAATCTGGCCACTCACTACCCACCTTAGTACGTGGCCACGTGATCTCGTCGGTATCTGATTCACGGCTGCTGAGTGGTATGCGCGGCGTACCAGTGTCTTTAATGATTTCTTCTCTCAAACGAGCCAGCTCTGCTTCAGCTGACCTCAAGGCCTGCTGAGATCGAGCTTTTTCCTGAGCCCACACTTCACGCTCAGCGTTCAGCACAGAGTCGGCATGCTCTTTTGTAAGGCGTGAATTCTGAAAATGACACGGAGTAAAACAATGATATTAAGAGAAAAATAGTATAAACATCTTTACGGGACAGAGAATGGTATACTAGACGATATTTCTATGAGGCAACTTGAGTTCGTTACCTGTTCATTTGCTCTATCCCGCTGTCTATACTGCGCAATTTGTTCTTCTAAATTAGCTAAAGCATTTCTCAATTCCTTCTTTTCCTCGTTTAACTTGGAGACAAATTCTGCCAGTTCTGTGTTTTGACGCACGATCCTCTCTTGTGCAGCCGCTTTAATGGGCGACAATGGCACTGTCTGGTCGTCCTGAAATTATTTAAGACGGGTAAGGTCCACGTATTACATGCTGAAATATTGATAAGGCTATTTGATAAGGAGTGTTTTTTTGGGGGGATCACATGGTTTTCAGGGGGGAAAGGACGGGGGATCAACCGTCCATGTTTTTGGTTACATGCAGGGAAGATCGTTAACAATACACTCAACGCCTGGCAGGAGTCATGCTAGCCCGTCAACATGTTTAATCTGACGTCAAGAAATGATTCGTAAAAGGAGAAGCGTTACGCATCCAAAGAACAACGACGCGCACCACGTTTAATAGAAACGTATAAAGTTTCAAAATGCGCTCTAAGAAGGGAATAGAGGATACGCGACAAAGCGCTGAAGAAATTTATGTCAGGAGTTATTTACTCCGGTAGAGACGGTAGAAAATTGACCACCAACAAAGGGGGGAAGTTTTAGAATACTCCAGACCCTTAGGGGGATCAGGTAAATTTTATTGTGACATAGCCCCACCCCTTAGGCGATAAACAACGACCGATACCTAAATACAGGCTACTTACGTCTATATGCACAGTGAGTGTTGATCTTATCTGCTCAAGTTCTTTCAGAAGATTGGCAAGTGATCTTTTCACTTCTTCCACCTCCTTGTTACCCCTTGAAGTAAATATCCAGGACAATCAGGTAATACAAATATTCTATTAATTGTTGTGCTTGAAATAGGCGCAAGGGTTCGGACCAACACTGTCGGTCGACAGCCAAGAGGAAAGTTCAATAGCTATAAGCACTTTCGCGCACGAGCTAAGCTCCTCGCAAAGATCTACCGGCGAAATACCTAAGATCTACCGACGACCGTCGACATATCCTCAGCGTTCACCGAAAATCCATCATTTAATTAATGGAGCTCTTCACTAAACAAGGATCCCGGATGATCTTCGAAAATGGAATTTAATCAGAAAATCCTTGAAGTCTAAAGTAATCTTAAAATTGAAAAAAGCAAAACGCTGAAAAGCCGAAATAGTTGGCACACAAAAGCTTCGCCCATATGAAGTAGTGTTCCTTTAGTGACTAAGTTATGCGGAAGAGTAAGTCAGTTACCTGGTTGAAGCAGAGTCAACAGAATTCTGATGTTTGTTGATCAGCACCTGGTGTTGTTGTCTCATAGACTCCAATTGTTGTTGATGAAGAAGGAGTCTCATACGAAGCGGGTACAGGGACGCCTCCTGTGAAGAGATGATTGTGTTATAATCACGTGACGGTAGAACCGCGTTAATCATTAAACACCTTTGAGAGACTAGAACAAATTTCCTCTTCAAAAAGTTCTACTTAATCGAGCATAAGGCTCACGAAGATTGAGCAAATTCGCAGGGCCAGAACAAAACGTGGTAATCGTCAGACAAATTATGTTCATTGATATCAAGGTAAATATGAGGAACATTAAGCGGAGAATTTTCATGTCAATAGCAGGGTTTACAGAGGTTTACCAGCAGAGAATTTCTCAAAGCTCATTTATCGAATTTGAGCCCTTCACGTCTCCGCCAAAAGCTTGAAAGAATTACATTATTCATAAACGTGCCTTTTCTTGAATAGGTTAGGAGTGCGAGTACTAATTTTACTCTCTCTACACCGATCTATGTGATTGTCGTAAGACGCTGATATGTCACTCCCCAAGGGAGGAAAGGATTTCCTTAAACCAACAGACCTTTTCTGACTGTTTTAATGCCTGGCTATCCAGATCTTGTTGTAACTCGCCCAGTTTTTTATCCCTCTCCGTCAAATCTCTGTTGAGATCTGCGTTCTTTTCTCTCTCGTTCCCCAGTTTCTGTTCGAGTTGAGCTCGCTTTTTCTTTTCGTTTTCCAGATCTGTCTGTAGATGGCGTTCTCTTTCCTTGTGACTCATGGCCGTAGCTTGTTGAACATCTCTCTCATTCTGGAGCCTTCGTGCCCGGATTCGTTCTTCTTCCAGCGTGCTTGTCAGTTCAACCAATTGTTTCTGGGAATAGAGAAAGGTAGTAAAAGATGATTTTCGTCTCTTGATGAGCGTGGGACAAGGAAAAACCAGGAATGGAACCCTACAACTTCTCTGATAAGATTGGAGGCAGTTCATTAACTCATAACACTCTAACATCAACATGAATATTCTCCATACTGTTCTCTGTACGTCTACTAAGCTGCTGACAAGGAAAATTTGTTTAACAAACTATAATTTGTTTATTCAGTTGTTGGCGATCATTTCCTGTATTCTCGCGACCTTAATGCGTGACTCACAGAAATAAGATGCTGGTCACCCTCAGGAGTCAATGGGTTAACTGAGGAATGGTTTCGGGCATCAAAGAACTCGTTAGCTAGCTGGGTTATGCATTAAGGTTGTATGCCACAAGCAAAGTTCTGCATACTGCTAGGAACAAGTGATGTCCGTACTACTCTGTGTGGTGATAAGTCTCAAGCTTTGTTTCTGAAATGTCACACGACGAAATACCATTATTGTGACAAAACCCACTATCCTTAAATAACAATTTTTAATCTTTAAGTTCCCTTCACCCAGACAGCAGAGACAAATAATCAAATTTATGTCACAAAGGCCTGGAAGTATGACACCTCCGTGTCTCCTAGTTCCTTTACTTAATAAGATTGATTCCTGACGAAGTTAACTATTTCATGTTCATGAAAAATCTGTATAGAAATTGGTATAGTCTTTGTAATAATAAAAACCTTTTCAGTACCTGGACAACATCTAGAGCTCCCTTTAACTGATGAGCGACTATTTTCTCTGTCTTGACGGATTCGTCGTTCTTGTCTTTCTCGTTTTCCAGAGACACTTCAAGGAACGCGCTATGATTTTTCTCATCTTCAAGAGAAGTACTTAGTTCGACAGACCTCTCTCGGGCAGCATTCAACGCCGCTTGTAGCTCTGACATCGAAGAAGACATTAACATATCAATAACTGAAATAGGAAGTCACGTTCAAGAGCGATTTTGCTCCCAAAGTCCCCACAAGTTTAACTGTTCAAACAAAAAACGATCATCTATGCTGTCTTATTTTCCAATGAATTATAAATAACCTGGTGAAGTACAAGTGAAGAAAAAAGAAGACTGTTATGACAAATCCCCAATTTCTCAAAAAAACTTTTCATGAAAAGCGAGGAGATCGTATCACTTCGAAGGCTGTAGTTCAAAACTACAGGGAATGCCATTGATAAAGTTAACATCGGGGTTTCAAAAAATGATTTCACTCAATTGTTTTTTTTCTTGTTTCCTAGTCCTGGAGTGGACCCCAATCGAGTGCCGTAAAAACCAAAACAAGGTTATCACAATGACCAATTGGAACAAAGGAGAGAACCATAACTACTAGTTAATGGCTTAAAGCGCGGGAAAATGCATTTTACGAGATGATTAGATCAGAGGGTGGATAATTTTTCTGACCAATCACACAACGTGATAAAACAAAATGAATCAAAATACAAAAACTTTCGACATTCAATTAAAAAAAAAAATTAAAGCTTAAAAGACTTCTCTCTTCTTCACATCTCGCCTAAGTTTACAGATTTCTTATCAGTATAGCTGGCCCACTTTCCTTTATGTTCTACCTTTATTGGTGTTTCGCAGCTGATCTGCGCGTTCCTTTGAGTGTCTCAACGCCTCTGTTTGACGTTTCTCGTTCGTCAAGGCCAACTGAACGTGTTCTGCTCGAGATTGTTCATCTTTCAAAGCCGCAGTCAACTCATCGATTGTCTCACGATTACGCTCTGTTGAAAAGAAAAGTTTAAGATATTGAGTTACTGATTCGTGAACGGAATGTCATTACCACAATAACAGAGAACACACCCTACCATGAAAAGTCTTAACAATGAGGTGTTGCTCGGAAAGTTTCCCTTTACACTGCACTGCTTGAGAAAAACAACAGATGCATGCACGCACACCCAAAGACACGCAAGTAGATGCACACGTACACATAGACGCACACGCATAGGACAAAAAATTACGGTTTTTTGATCAAGGCCAGACCACAACACTGGGAGCTACGTTCCCCACTCTTTGCGAGAAGTGCGAAGGTTCACTCACGTCCCCGACTAACCAGTACGGAGGAGATGCGGGAGACACAGCTTATGGTTATATCGAGAAGACTAGAATTTCTAACCATTCATAGATGTCGTAGCAATAACCCTTCAAGGCGGAGGAGGCGAGAGACGAGGTGGCCGAGTGGTAATCACTCAGAGGTCTGGGCTCAAGCTCTGTGTTGTATTCTAGGGAAAGACACTCAACGCAAACCACAACAGTCATTATTATTACCTAGAGCCTCTACTTGTAATGCCTTCTCTGTTTCCAATTCAGACTCCAAAGTAGAAATGGCAATTCTTTCTCTCTCCAGCTGCACTTCCAACTCTACCTTTTCCTGTTTATTTGCTGACAGCTGTCGGCGGAGAGCCTCAATGTTCTCCATCAGTCGGTTGTTATCTTGTTTGCCTCGCTGCCGTTCGCTTTCGACCGCATCTTGGTACTTTTTAGTGTTTGCTCTTTCGAGTTCTAACGCTTGCGTTTGGTTTGAATGACGCACTCTCTCAGCTTCAAGACTTGTTCTGCAAAGAAAGGGGAAAATTTCTAAGTTTTAATGAAACAGTTTTCTAAAATGGCGCCTTATTATAAAAACACGTCGTCTTTTTCCACGGGGACATTAATATTAGCACCTTGGTCAGTAGAACTATTTTTCACGTAACCTTGTTAAGTTTCAGTGGAGAAGACGGGATAACAAACATAACTATGACTGGAGCTAAATGTTGAGCCCGCAGTTATGCAGCTGTCTGCAAATATGAATGAAAAGCTTCTTACTAACGCCTCTGTCTAATGCCTCTCACCACCCCTCTTCGGCTCGTTCACTACGCAATGTAATTGGCCGGCCTAGAAAATAGCGCCACTTTCTTAACCAATCAGATGCAACACATAAACCAATTGCGACTTGGTCCCTTGTAATTTCCCGCCCTTGAGGTCGATATCGTGTACTTATCTAAGTTCTCATCGGCTCCTTATGAAATTAACTTCTGTTCTGATAAGCCAATGAGATTCCTTTGGTTTCTGTGTTACGAAACTTGATCGGAAAGTGCTTGAACATGTATTTACTCACTTAAGGGACATGACCTGGACCCGTTCCTTCTCTAGGGTGGCTCCTAGTTCTGTGATTCGACTTTTCTCTTTCGCCAGGGCTTCCTTCAAGTCAGCCACTAAGGACCTCTCCCTCGTTAGCAAGTTGGTGAGATCATTTTTCACGTGATCCACCTGCTGTCCTTTAAGCAGTACTGAAATGAAATGAAAAGGTTTCAGCGCTCCCTTTACTTCATTTGACCCACATACTAGGGTAATATAATATAGTCAACTGAGTTGATAGCGTAAATTGGCCATCTCTAAGAGTTTCAAAGCTGACATTTTGAGCGATAGCCCTACGTCTTTTAGCTCTGACGGTGGCCAATTTACTTAATCAACTCAGTTGATAATACTTAATTCCCCTGTTTATACTCTCTCACCGACGCAGCAACACAGTTTCTTCAGAAACTTATTCCTTTGACTCAGATTCTACCGTGGTTGACAGACTGATAGATTTAGAGCCGTGCTTATAGAAAACGCGATTAGCGGAAAAAGTTTCAGTTGATTTTGCTTACGTTGCTTATAAACATGAAATATTTCCAACGGCAAATAATAAATGTCCTCTACTTACTACAAATGCATCTATAGCAGCATTGCAGCAAAAACGGATTCGTGGCAGACAGCAAATAAGCTTCTTTGTTTGCGTTTGCAATTAACATAGCTTTAGTTTTTACTTCGGAAGCCATAATACTAACACCCGGTATTTCCTGGTTACTTAGAATAAAAAAACATAGATTTCTTACACTGTGCCCTGACGTCTCTCTCTCGCTTTTTAGCTTCCTCTAACTCAACATGCAGCTGCTCCACGAGATTTCCCTGCTAAAAATAATTATAAAAATAATAGCCTAAGAACGAAGGGTTAGGGTTATAAAAACGAAGTCCCGGGCATTTCCCTTGATTTGCGTCGTTTGAGTCACCTCAATGTAAACAATTCTAGATACCATAAATAACAAAACACCTATTAATATGCTACTAGTGTTATCAAACTCATACCTGCTCCTTCAACGGTTTCGTAGAGGTCTTACGAAGCTCGTGAATCTCAGCTAGCAAAGAATCACGATCCTTTGTACGAAGGTGTTCCATAACACGACTCGTAAGTTCATCCTTAAAAAAAAATATGTAAAATTGCGCATTAATCCAAAAGGCCAAGATTTTTCCTTCAAAATTATGATTCATTGAGAATTTAAAACAATTGAAAGAGTATGAAAATTAAGAATGTGGAGTAACTTTGCCAACCAATCACCAGTTTTGAGAAGTACAAAGAGTATGATTCGGGATGATTTGTACCTGTGCGTGTATCTGATCCCGCAGTAATCTGGCCCCGGGAGAGTCATGACCGTTAGTAATCTGTGAGGTCCTCAGCTCTGCCACAATGACATCCCTGTCTTTCTCGAATACCTTTAAAGGTGCACGAAACAAATGAAATTGTTATTTTAATAGACTCCTGTTTTATTTTAGTTAATTTGTCAAAAGTATTAAGAATTGGATTAATATGACACCAGACTTCCCTGTGGCTATCCTATCATTTCAACACCCTCAAAAATCAAGAAAAATTCCAAATTGGTTACAAAGGAGCTTGACTGTGAAATTCTACTGAAAAAAAATATCTCAAATCTAGGAGTCCTACTTTGTCGAAGAATTTTCTGTCAAACCCAAAACTGATTGGTTCATGGATGCATTTGAAATTTATTTTTATGGGTACACAGCCTTAGCCCCTTTCTTGCTCGTGTTTATGGCCGTTTGTGCAAGTTTTTTATATTTCTTTACATACGATTACCCCTTTTTCCGCATGGTCCGGGCACTTGTAGTTAGCAAATATGGCATTAACTATTTTGGGTCAACAAGGCTGAAAAGAAAAACACATACGTACCTTTTGCACGGCGTTTAACAAATCTGCCCGCCAATCAGCTTCCTCGTGAAGTTTGGAGGGCTGGAGAAAAAATTACCATGATATTAGAAGGAAGAACGAGTAAAAGAGCAACCTTAAAATTGCAACTTCAGTGCAGGCTTGATTA